ACTCGACCTTGAGCCCAGCATCGATGTTGCCTCTGTTTGTTTGTAGTCTCCTTTCGATGCAAGCCAATGGTTGTATACACTTTGTCCGATGTTTCATGATAATTTTCAACGTCGGACCATCGACATGGTACACTCCTCGACTCACCGTCCTGCGACCGCGATGCAACTGTGCTAAGCCTTCGTCTGTACTGTTGCTGTGGCAGGCATCATCAGAACAAAAATATGCCAAACCTTTTCCACAGGGTATTCTTCCAAATCCTCTTTTTATTCATTTCTATAAGTGATGACTTGACTTTGGAGGTACAGCAAGACCTTGCCCTCGAGTATTCAAGATGATTTCTATCTTCGCGACGGTGACTTGGTGCATTCCCAGACATTTCGCCGACCTCTTCCGCGAGAGATGTCGTCCTCAGCACGCAGTTACAACATGTCACTTTGATTGGATGCAACTCTGTGCTGAGGAGGCCGCCTCTCATGGAAGATGTCGATCAAATGTCTGGGAATGTCACTGGTTCGAAGGTGAATATCATCCGAAATACTCGAAGACGAGATCTTCATGTCGCTCGGATCAAGTTGCCAAACCAACGCATTAATCAGCTGAACGAGACTGCAACCCAACAAGCGAGCACACCATCATGGTCTCCAAATTTATCTTTCGGATTGGTCAGTTAAGAACCGTAAAACCGTGTCCCGAAAGCGGACTGCTCTTTACTTTTGTTTCTAAACTCATTCCTTGCGTGTCATTTTGTTTTGTCAGACTGCACCAAAGGCGCCGCAGCCTCGGCTTGTGGATGCCAACTATTTGCCAGACCTCAGTCGTGCTCTACTCTTCAATGCCTGCATGAATGTGCATGCATTCACCATGACGGACTCGGATTTGCAAGTGGCCATCTTGGAGAAATCTTGTTGTCGTTGAGACACTTTCATGTCCTGTGGCGTCTACTGCTTGTCTGAGGCTGATTGTATCGGTCCGGTCTCTCCAGTTTCGACTGGCTTTATCGTTTTACAAATTAGATGTACAAAGTCCGGTCAAACTAAGTTATCTGCCAATCATTTTTGATGCCAACTAATTGACAATTACTGAATTCACCCTTTAGCCCTTTTCGCAAATCTGTCCAATTTTGCAGACGGAGCTTTGTCGAACCGAGTGTCAATATTATATTAACGTTATTCTCGTATTCGTTTCTTTCGTTTCTTTTTTATCGTTTCTGTTTGGCCATACATTTTGTCATCACTTGTGATGGACATGCATCTCATACAAGCCTTTTGGAACGAAAAGCCCATCAGGTGGACCGGACTGGAATAGAAATTGTCGATAGGAAGAGCAAGATGGTATGGACATATGTTTGGACACAGTCTCCTTAATATTGGAATACGTTTCGGTCGTTCTAGAAGTGTAATGAGATGTATT